GTAGTCCAGGTCGTCGTCGTCTCTGATGAGGCCCACCACCGTGGTGTCGTCTGCAAACTTCACCATGTGATCAGTGGTGAACCTGGGGACGCAGTCGTGTGTCATCAGGGTGAACGGCAGGGGGCTCAGGACGCAGCCCTGAGGGGAGGGGCTTAGACTGATGACATCAGAGGCGTTCTGTCCGACCCGGACATAGTTCATTCTGATCGGAACCTTGTATCGGGTCGGTTCCCGGTACCGGGTCGGTGCCTTGTATCCCCCCATGGATGGGATTGGATGGGGATCAGTCGGGTCGCTGCCTCATGGTCGCTCCAGAAGGTCTGATTGGATGTCTGTGTCTCCAGGTCACATCAGGGATCCCAACAATCAGCTGCAGACGGTGAAAAACCTGCGGATCTGCATCAACAACATAGAAACGTCCACTGGCCAAGGCTCCGCCCACAACCGGCTGCTCAGTGAGGTGGTGCTCTCCTGTCAGCCACAGGAGGGCGCTGCAGCCACCGTCATCAGAACCGCAGAATATCATTTGAACCTAGGCGGTGAGTACATGATCGGGTTCTGGTTCAGGTGTTGGTGTGGGTGGGACTAAACCAGTAACCCTGTGTGTGTGTGTGTGTGTGTGTGTGTGTGTGTGTGTGTGTGTGTGTGTGTGTGTGTGTGTGTGTGTGTGTGTGTGTGTTCAGGGACCACGCCCTGGTTCGAGGCCTACAGGGAGGCCTTCCTGCAGACCATGCCTCCCTCTGACCATGAGTTCCTCCATCACTACCTGGCCTGTATCCTTCCAGTTCCAGGATCCATAACTGTCTCTGCTTCCAGTTTGGTTCCAGTCTCTAGAAAGTTTTCTATTATTTCTATTTTCTATAGATCCTAAATCATTAACGGTAAAGTCGCTTTTCCTCTGCATTAATGAGAGGATCAGCAGCCTGTGACCTCTGACCTCTGCTCTGTCAGCCCCTGCTTTGCTCCTTAACGTGCTCCAGGCCTGCTGGTGGTGTCGTCCTCCGAGGCGGTCCCGGTGGAGCAGTTCCTGAAGCTGTCCCAGGAGCAGCACAGGATCCAGCACAGCGGGGAGTACTCCTGCCCAAAGTGGTTCATCCCCAACACTCTCAAGTACTACGTGTTGCTGCACGACCTGAGCGAGGGAGATGAGCAGAGGTAGATGCTGCTGCAGCTGCTGATGGTTACATTCATCCATCCATCCATTCATCCATCCATCATCCATCCATCCATCCATCCATTCATTCATTCATCCATTCATTCATCCATCCATTCATTCATCCATCCATCCATCCATCCATCCATCCATCCATCCATCCATCCATCCATCCATCCATCCATCCATCCATCCATCCATCCATCC